GGGCCCTGCACCGAGCAGCTCCCACGGCACTAGAGGGCAGGGCTGGCCCAGCTCCGAGCCCTGGCCTCGGGACAGCAGCAGCACCCCGGCCTGGGGAGGGAACAATCTGAGTGGGGAGCTGCGGGCTTAGCCAGGGGGAGCAGTGTACCCCAGAATCCTCGTGGGTCTCAGGGGTGTCCACGGCTCCGGGTGTTCTCCCAGCCCTTCAAGGAAAATGAGTTCTGATTTATACTGGTTTCCTTGTAACCACTACCCTTGGCCCCTCTGGCAGGGGGCTTCAGCTGCAGCCAGACTGGCACCAGGACCCCAGATGGGTGCTCTGCACCTTGCTGGAGGAGCGGGATGCTGCTGTTGTCACAGGAATGGGATGGGGGAGGAGGGGGTCCTGTGAGGATTCTGCGTATCTGAGATCCTATGGACACCTGGCACTCCCCTCCTCTCAGCCCCATTAACCAAGCCCTATATCCCTGTCCCTACACACTGTACATACCCTTTCCTGCCCTATATGCTGTAACCTAACCCGGCACACTGCGTGCTGCACACCCAGCCCTCTGCACTCACACACACACACACCTTACACAAGCAGACCCCTCGCCATGGCTGCTCCTGGCCCCACAGGGTGCATGGGACCAATGGGGGCCCCCCAGCCAGCACCTCTGTATCACCAGCATTGCCTGTGGCTGAAGAAACAGGTCAGCTCCTGCGACATCTGCCGTGCTGGCCTCTATGTGATGGTCACTGCAGGCTATGTCATGGCAGTTCTGCTGTCTTGCTCATCCACCTAGTGCTCATCCCTCTATGGTCCATCAGCACTGGGATGATCTGCACGTATCCCTGGCCCCAGGGAAGCAGGGTCCAGCCCCAGCACGCAGCCACACGTGTGACACACGTGTGACACATGCAGGAGCCTCTTCCCCTGCCTGGTGTAGCCCCAGGGCCAGCACCACCCACGGGTGCCCACTGCACAGGGGCACATGCTGGTCCCCTTGTCCAGCACACCTGTGTCTGGCTGTCCCTGCCTCACTGCTGCAGCACCATGCTGATCCTTCTTGCCACTCAGGTAGCACCTGAGCCTGACTGAGCCCTGATCCCCTGCATTCCCCAAGCACAGCATGCCCCGAGATGCAAGGTACAGATGTGGGGCATGGAGCAACCTGCCAGCCCATGGGGGGGATGCAGAACATGGCTAGGCCCCAAGCCCAGGGCAGAGGGCAGCCCCACACATTGATGCCCTGCATGAGCGAGTCCCAGCACACATGCACAAGTGTGCAAGGAGGGCACCATTGCTGCACGCTCCCCTCTGCTCCCCACTGGGTCTGGATGCACCAGTGACACCCACAGCACTGACCTACCTGCATCAAGCCCCAGCCCCATCACTGTGCCCAAGAGCACCCCACATGGGGCCAGGACACACCCACACCCTGTTGTGCTGGGGTCTGAGTGTCACCACCCCAGAGCTGTCCCCTGGGGACACGGAGGGCTCTCGCCCCTGCAGCCCAAGGTGCTGAGCCCTCCCTGTGCCAGCAGGACAGGATGTGCCTGTGACTTGCTTGCTTCAACCTGCCCCAGGAGCTGGCGGAAATGGGTGTGAAGAGAGGGAATGCAGTGGGATGGGATAGCCCAGAGTCCCCCCAGCTTCTCCATTATCCCAGCCCCTGTCTGTGCCTGGGATGTATGGTCCTGAAGCCATCAGGTTCCACAGCCACCCTTGTCCCCCAGTCAGCCTTCTCCACACAGGCTGCTGCCATGCCAAAAGCTGGCAGGTGAGCATCCCCTGCCATGGCCATGGGGGTAATAGATGGGCCAAGCTGCCACCAGTTCTACCTCAGCCCCACACCTTCAGGATGCTCCAGGGCAGAGCAGCCACAGGGACTCCCTTTCCTGCCAAAAACCCTTTCAGCAGGGAAGGAGGAAGGTAAACCCACCAGCCCAGAAGTAGGGGTGGTTTGAAGGTTTGTGGTCCACTCAGCATCAGGGTGGCTGTTTTGCCCCAAGGAGCTGGCAGAGAAATCTGCAGCAGTGCTGGAAATTCTCCCCATTTGCTCATTTAGCTTTTTTTTTTAATTTTAAACAAAACTTTCTGACCGTGGAAATCCTGTTCCCCCTCAAAAATAAAGCCAAGCAGACCCTCTCAGCATGCCAGCTTCGCCCACACTGCTGATGTGTCAGCATTCCCCAATACTTGGAAAAGCCCTTAAAATGCAAATATTTGTAAGGGGTTTAGACAGTTTTCTACCCATCTCTAATTCCCTGTGGTTATGGGTAGAAGGGCTCACCTCAGTGGGCACAGTGAGCTCCCAGCTGACCATCACCAGCTTCCCCATGGCCAGGACATGGCAGGGAAGAAAACTCATCTATATCCTTGGTAGGAGCTGCTAGGAGACCGAAACACATTCCTTCTCATACTCTCCCACCCAGAGCCTGAGGCCACGGTGGATGATTTGGATGCTGGGGAGTGAGAACTCCACGCCCAGCCCAGGCTGTGGGCCGGCCACACAAGTGGACAATAAAGATCTGCACCCTGAGCTTTTGGTGATCCGTGGTCACTGCTGTCACAGGACACAGGGGGATAGACCCTGCTCAGTGGGACAGAGCAGCCAGGACGCTCCCTCTCCCTAGGGACCTCCCACACTCTGCCCAGTCCCTGAGCCAAGCAGGAGCAGCCCCCTGAGAGCACTGGCACCCCATAGCGTGGGGGGATCTCTGGAACCCACCTCTGGGGAAAACACACTCCACAGGCACCTCTTCAAAGGGATGCCCATGCTTTGCATGGCCACAGATGATCCTGTTTCCTACACGCCTGGGGTTTAGGAGAGAGTCAGCGCACCCACCCTGCCAGTTTTCCGGCAGCTGAGACACTGGGAGCAGGAGGGTGGGCACAACTTGAGAAATAAATAAAACAAAAAGGTCTATCAGACTTGTGAAAGGGCAGGAAAGCCTTTTACAGGATGCTGGCCCTTTTAAGCCCACCTCAACCCTGCAAGCATCGCGGTGGTAAGGAAACTGCTGCTGAGTATGGTGGTAGTGGATGAGGGGTGGGGACCCTGCTGGCACAAGTAAGACTGTTGCCACCAATGTTCCAACACATCCCACAACTGCCCAGCTCGATGGCCTTGACTGGATCCCTGCCAATCTGTCAATGTCACAGCAACGCTGGCTACCAGGCTGGAGAGGGGTCCCAGGACTTCAAGCACGCCCCTGCAATGGTCAGTGTGGGGCAGTGAAAATGGCCCCAGCCCTGGCCCCAGCACAGCAGGAATGGGGCTGGCTCCCCTCAGCCCTAGGTCTGGAGCTGCCCCACTGATAAGGATGGCAGGGAGCCCCTCCCACGGCTGGCCCATAGATAAGGCCCAAGTGTGCCCCACTGATTGCCCTGGGAGGCAGCTGATGGGGTGGGAGCCACCGCTCCTGGGAGATATGGCCAGGAGGGAGCAGTGGGTGATGAGGGCAGGGAGGCTTCTGCAGGGGAGTGAGATGCTGGGTCCCTTCTCTGGGCAGGTGAAGGTGCCCTGGCTGCCCTGACAGCATACCTGGGGTAGGAGAAAGTGTGGACCCCCTGGCTGAGCAACATCCTCCCACAAATCCTCCCCTTTCCAATGGGGACCAGTCCTCTGCTGCTGGAAAATACTTCCCAGTACCCTGCAATCCCAAAGGGCTGCATCACGACCCTGCTGCAAGGCAGAGTCAGGGACCCCACCACACCTCAGTTTCCCCAGCTGTAAAATGTACACCATGAGGGTATAGAGGGCTCAGTCTCTCATTGCTCCATGCCTGGGGAAAGATCCATGCCAGGTGTTATTCATAGACCAAGCTGGCATTTCAGATGAGGGGGATACTGCCCTGGAAGCCAGCTGGCTGCCTCCAGTCTCTGTCTCAAGGTCACCAGGAAAAATGCTGGCCCCAGAGGGGTTTGGGGTAGGAGTCCTTCCAGCTGCAGCTTCCCCTTCTGGGCAGGGAAAATCCCCTTTTCACAGCACAAGGCAATAGGGATCATTCCTGTTAGAGAGCCCAGCCCTCAAATCTCCTGTGCAGCCATGAGTGATGGAACATTCTCAGGAGGGGCAGCGATGGTGGGGTGAGAGCAGGGGAGTGCAGCACACGGGGGAGCACAGGGCAGAGCTGGGGATTTTTGCTAACCAGAACAGCTCGCTGTTTTACAGAAAAGCCAGCCCCGGATGTCTAACCTTCTCGGGAAGCAGAAGTGCTGCAGAGGGTGTGTGGGCAAAATCTCCCCATGCTCCAGCTCTCAGAAACACTGCTCAGCCACAGCTGGGGGACCAGATCCTGCTCACAGCCCTGGCGACACCCCCAGAGACCCTCCTGTTCCTGCCCATACAGATCTGGGAGCCACCACGGACAGTGCCGTCCTGATTAGGCTCCCATGCTGCCAGGCTGGGAAGAGAAGTGAGACACTGGCACAACCAGGATGCCACTGTGTCTGTCCCAGAGCACCTAAAGGGGTCACCCCACAGGGAACTGGCTTGTGAGCCCTCAGCAGCCCAGCTGCAGATCAGGTCAGCATGACACCTCTTCCCAAAACTGCTGAGACCATTTAACCATGTGCATATATTCATAGAAAAGCCACACATAACATATACACACACATCTATAAATATGTATGTGACTTTCTATACTATCTAGGATCTTGTACAGTGCATATAAACCATGAGGGATGGGTGTGCACACATGAGTGGAACAGCTTTTCCCCACAGACTGACTCATTGCCCATGCCATAGCCTCAATCACACTTCCAAACCATTCCTGGGGTACTGGCCCACACAAGGGTCCCCCAGCCCCACAGATGACCAAAGGGGCTCTCCAGGGCAGGG